TATCTATCTATCTATCTATAGATCTATCTATCTAAATCCCCTCCTTCTATTCCACGTATAAAAACAGCACTTGTAGAAACAAGACAAATATTCTTAAATATAATCTAATGTTCTTCTATAGAGAGTAATATCTTAATTTTTCCCTGTGTTAGTTTGTGTAAAATATAAAGGATCCATCCTGTAACTGGGTTACAGTTTCTACTACTACTCTCCACAGGGGCGGGTCGAGAGAAATATTCTTCCAGTGGCTGAAATTTGTGCAGATTTAAACAATCAATCACATATATCAATATTTGCCTGGAAAAAGCTCCTAAATGAAGATATTTGAACTAAAAAACATTACATTATTGTGGCTTATTAGTAAAGCATTGAATAGAAAGGCTGCGTTAGAAATCATTACATTGTTTTATTTTCCAAACACGCATTTTAATCATTGAACTTAATCATGTTTAAATTGGTCTAAAATGTGGCCACAATATATCTTTAAATTGTAAATTTCTGTTTTATGTTATGTTATTTTTAACACACATTTAAATGAATGGGTTCATTTTGACAGCATTAACACCAAATTAAGGTGACCAAGCATTTTTCTCTAGATCCGTCCCTGGAAATAAAATAATAGTTTGATAAGATGCTGTTTTTAAAAGGTTTCAGTTTGAAACTTTGCAGCTTCACTTTCCCTTGTTGGGCTCATTTATTTTAATTCTTGTCTTCCAGATACGGAGCTCAAGGCCTCACCCTCAGTAAAATTGTTCCCCACATATGTAACCTCCTGGGGGACCCCACGAGTCAGGTAAGACCAGTTTACCACGATTATAAACCACTCTGCTCTCTAATCTATCGCTTTTAATCGTGTTCTGTTGTCAGTTTGTCTTCTATTTATATTATATATGAGTATATTTATTCTGTGATTCCTTGAGATTTAAATAAAGGTCAAACAAGTGAATGAAAAGTAATTTTAAACTCAAAACAGATTGTTGAAACGGATTACACAGAAAATATTAAGTTACAGAAACTCAATTAAAGTTGAAAAGACTTTTGATGAAGCAGTTTTTATTAGTAATTTTAAGTGACTCTTATTTAGTGTTGTAGGTTACAGAAACATTCCTGATTACGTAGTTCTTAATAGGTATTTTGTTTTCACAGTACAAATAAAAATGACATAATTGAGTTAGTTTCACTTAAAATCTTCTATGTGATCAGTTAGTGTTATTAACTGGTTTTACAGTGTTGGTTACAATTATCAACGACGTGTCAAGAACTACACAATTAATACTAATTTAAACCACAGTGCGTTTGCTAGTTTCACTTTAGTTTTTATTGTTTAAAAATGACCTTTTTTTTAGTTTTAATGTTTTTTATTATAAAATGGGGGGTATTTATCAGAATAGGTATTATAATACAAACACATTGACTCACAGTCTCTATAAACAAATGCACCAACTGCCTCCTCGTGCTGATGGTGTCGACACATTTGACCAAATTGATGAAAACTAAAAAGATTTCCTGTATATTTATGTATTTTAGTTAGTTCTTTAAGTGCTCAATATCTTTTCAGTTCATTTTGGATCTTTTTCTAAAGTCTAATTGTTATTTTTATTACAGTAAACTCCTGATAATTCAATGTGCTGTTGTCCTCTTCAGGTACGTGACAGTGCCATGAGCTGCTTGGTGGAGATCTACAGACACGTGGGTGAGAGGGTGAGGATGGATCTCAGCAAAAAGGGCCTTCCACAGTCACGGTACGGCAGCAGGAAGTCCACGTCTGTCTTCTGATTTGTGTCCGCCTCCTTCCACCTTTAATGCCTTTCGTTCTCACTCACATACACTTACAGGGGCACGCAGTGTGCGTAGGTCAGGGGCTTTTATGGCGGTGAGAGGAAGGTTTTCATCCCACGTCTAGACACAAAGAGGTAGCAGGCTGCAACAATGCATTTCTCCCCCTAGTGGCAGCAAGCACACACTGCAGCTTCAGAGCACTGGTCTGCTCGGGGAGGTTTACACTCAGTTTATTAGGTACACTAAAGCTAAAGCTAATGCAGTTTAATACAACACTCCTGCAGTAAAATCATCCTTTATGAAGGTTTTAATGGTCAGTTTCAGTTTGGACCTGTTTTAGAGAGCTGTTGGTTGAACTTTAGGATTATTTTGGAGGAAGTAGCACAGTCACCTTTAGATTTAAACCAGAAGGGCCCCAACCTGAGGACCCGATGCCCGACCTGAACATTATATTTTAGCATATATTACTTTATTATTACTCAAGGTTTAACCAATCAGATAGCGTTGTGGGCGGAACTACAGACGGAGAGCGGCGGCTGCATCATTAATTCATTTTATTGATTAAAAAACATTCAGATAATCAGTAAAAAGCTGAATATCTGATCTAATAATCGGCCAAGTGTTTCTGTTATCTTCTTATTTATCTTCTGTTATCCTTTGACACTGGACCATATGTCTCTCCTCTCTCTCTCTCTGGTCCTGATGCCAGTTTGTCACCTGTGTGGTAGTTCTGGCCGCCGCCGTCTATTTCGGTCTTGGCCGTCCCTGCTGCACGGAGCAGAGCGAGAGCTTCTCACCTCGGAGGTGATGGATGGTGCAGTCAGCAGCTCCGTCGTCACTCTCTCTGCGTCGGCTCTCTGACACCTTGTTTCTTACCCTCTCTACGCAGTTAATCATCACCTGTTAATTGTTTTCTGTCCGCTTTCACAGGTTGAATGTAATCTTCAGTAAATTTGATGAAGTCCAAAGATCCGGGAACATGATCTCATCCTCTGGCTCTGGTGAGTTTCTGACCTTTTATACACTTTGATCAGGAACATACATGCACAGTTTAAAAATCAACTGTTGATCTCAAGTCATTCAGAAATCGTCTTTAAGTTTTCCTCCGCACAAACATTCGGCACAGCGGGGGATCGAGGATGGGCGGATGCACTGTGAATAACGGGGTTGTTGTCGTCTCAGGATAACTTGGTTTTAACTTGTTGCTTGTTTGTTTAAGAAACACCTTTTTCATTCAGGCTTTCATTTTATCACTGTAAAATTATCCCACTGTAAAACCTGATGATTTAGTTCAACTCAAACTGTTTGGG